TAGGCCTTCCGTATATGACAATGTTTTGAAGTTACGCAGAAGGTCTCTGCTTCTTCCAAAGGGGGCAGAGGAGTCTTCTTTGTTCTTAGTCTGGAAGTTCTGCTGAAACCTGTTCCCTTTGGGTGGTTCCCTCTCCCCACTTCCACGCTGCCCCTTCCATCAGTAAGTTTCATCCCTCTGACAGAGCCACCACCCTCTCTGGGGAACCTCACCCCAGATCCCCATGGCTACCACTCAGCAGACAGCATCGGCCCACCAACACCCCCTCTGCCATTGAATTGATCCCAACTGTTCTGAGGTGCCCTCCGGCCAGGCCAAGTGGCCTACCCTTTATTTACCTGAAGCAGATGATGTGTGGTTCATTAGCATTGGCCCACCTCTTTAACCAGGCTGTCTGGTCCCTGGCCAGAAGAGTGGGTGACCTGTAAGTGTGAGCTTGGCTCAGTTCTGCTGCTTGTTTCTACCCCAGTGAACTCACGCAGTATGTGCCCTTTTGTACTTGACTAACTTCACTCAGAGTAATGTCTTCCAGATCCCTCCATACGTTGAGGTGTTTCTTGGTTTTATCACTGTTTTTTAAGGGATGCATAATATTCCATTGTGTGTATGTACCAAGTTTCTTTATCCAATCATCTATTGATGGAAATTTTGTTTTTTTCCCAGCTTCTTGCTATTGCAAACAGTGCTATGATGAACACGGGGGTGCAAATGCCTATTTGTGATCTACTTATTTTCTCTGGGGGTAAATGCCCAGAAATGGCATTGCTGGGTCAAGTTAGCAGAATGTCTTGTTCAGCTTTTCCATTCCTTTATTGAGTGTCTCACCTATTGATCTATCTTTCTTTGAGAGTGATGTATCAAAATCACCTACTATAATTGTTGGTCTTTTGATTTCTCCTTTCATCTCTGTGAGAATTTTGTTGATGAATTTTGTGGATCTTTTTTTGGGTGCATGTAGGTGTTTTATGGTTTTGTGTTCTTGGTCTATTGACCCCTGGATCATTATGTAATGCCCTTTCTTGTCTCTCTTTATCTTGTGTATCTTGAGGTCTATTTTGTCAGAGATTAATATTTCCACCCTTTTTTTAAAATTGTCATTAGCTTGGTAAAACTTTTGCTAACTTTGACTCTCTGTTTTAGTTTGTGAATTTGATATGTGTCTCCTGAAGTCAGAAAATTGCTGGTTCTTGCTGTGGAATCTACTCTGCTACTCTTTGTCTTTTTATGGGTATGTTTCGCTCCTCATCCTGTTACTATTTGTGTTTGATACTTTCCTTTCTTCCCATTTATAGGGGTGGTGTATGTATGAGTTCATTTTTGTCTTCATTTCCCCATTTGATCTGTGATGTTTTGGGTGCTAATTTCCATGATTTGGTTTCTTTGTATTGTTACACCCTGTGGTGATATTATGTTCATGTGCTCTGGTTGTTGGTTTTCTGCCCCTAAAGAACTGGACCATATATTTTGTAATACAGGTTTTATTTTTCCTATTCTCTAAATATTTACTTATTTTGGAAAACTTTTATTTCTCCAAATTTGACGGAAAGCTTCACTGGAGAAAGGATTCTTGGGTTGCATATGTTGTCTTTCAACTTTTGGAATATGTTGCTCCAATTTCTTCTTTCCTGCATGGTCTCTGCAGTGAGGTCTGAGCTTATTCTTATCTGTTTACCTTTATATGTGACTGCTTTTTTCTCTCTAGCTGCTCTCATGTATCTCTCCTTTTCTTTGAAGTTGGATAATTTGACTACTACACGTCTTGGTGTGTTTGGGGACAACGTTTAATCTGAGTGGTGTCCTCTCTGTTTCCTGGATGGTTGTTATGTCCTCCTATGTGATATTGGGGCAATTTTTTCCCATGGATTTCCTCACTGTTTTAACTCTAGCCATATTTGTTTTTTCCTGCTCAGAATCCCCAATAATTCAAATAGTGTTACGCTTCATGAAATCCCCCCTCATCGTCAGGCTTTCTTCATTTTCTTTTCCTGTTTTTGTTTGATTGCTTCTCTTGTTTGCTGAATTCTCTTTGGTTGTCTTTGAATTCACTGATTTGATTTTCCACTTCTTCCATTCTATTGTTAAAGTCTTTCACCTTGCTCCTTACTTCTGTTACCTCATGCCTTCACTCTTGAATTTCCCTTTGGTGTAAGCATTCTTGTATCTCTTTTTCATCTGTTTTAAGGATTGATCCCCTAATTTCTTATATGACTCTCAACAACATTCTCTTGGTTTTTCTATCTGGCAATTCATGGTCTGCTTCTTCTGTGTAAACTGTCAAGTTTGGGTCATTTTCAGTAATTAATTTTTATCTTTCTAGATTTTTTTGTGGTAGCTGTTGGTATTGGTTCTTGTCTGTGTCACATCGTGGATGAACTGAGGTGCTGCATCAGCTTCTGTGATTTGTAGGGAGGAGGGACTGACTCTGTAGGTGAGGGGAGGATCTGCTAGGTGCCAGAAAAGGCATTGTGTATAGATGATGAGGGCGTGTTCATTGGGTGAATAGAAGAAATGGGATGTAGGTGCTCAGCAGTATGTTTTAGTTGATAGTATTAATCTTTAGAAGCCGTCCTGTTAAGTGTGTTAATTTTTAATGAGTAGGTGAAGAGGGTTTTGGGAAATATGTTTTTAATTGATAGATTAGATGACAACAGGTATTTTCAAGGTGTAGAAGCAGGTTTTAGAGGTTGTGGTGTTTGGGTTGTGTGAAGGGTATATGAAATCTACCACAGTCCATTATTGA